GCCGCGGCAAAACGCAAGGAATCGAAGCACGTAACGGTGCAACAGCGATACGAAACCCGGGGAACGTTTTATAAGGTGCTGTAAATTAGATTTCTCTTGGTCCCGAGTGTCAAACGTCACTTTAGGTTCGTACTGTTCTTATTTGTTCTTCTCTTTTTCGATCTTCTTCCGTTCGCCAGACGACACAGTGGTGCACGTGTGCCCGTGTAAAGGATACAGTTATGCGTTTCACGGCGAGAGGGAAAGATGGGACCTCGGCAGACGAAGGATCCGTTTTATAACTAGAGATTCATAACGGCACACGACCTCACAATGGACACTAGCTGCCAGGCAACGACGCGACGGGCCCAATGGCTCAGTCCGATCGAGCGATGTCTCTCGCCAACCACCACTTACTTACCGAACCGTTCTACTAACGTCGTGGAAACACCGACACGCGAGGGGATTCAACTATTCTTTTTTAATTTTTCCCTTCGATGGTAATGACATTTTCTAGACAGAAGATTTTGTATTAATCTTTTCAATACGAGCTACGTATCGCTGCATATTGTTAAGAGCCAGTCAACAAGGGGCCACATCAACAATGTGGTATTAATGGTTTTGAATAGCATAGGATCGAGTTACTTTTTCCGTTCTTTTTCTTATTGATATGTTTTACTCTGAAGTTTTTGTATTAATCAATTATCATAGAAGTGAATGTTGCATGGAAGATTTTGAATGCCTAGGGATTGAGTTATTTTCTTCGTCTTTTCTTACTAAAAATTATACATTTTTTTACGCTGAGGGTTTTCCTTTAATCTCCTCAATATGAGTTGCCTTTAATGCTACGTATTGAAGACCGAATAAGGATCAACGTCGAAATGGTTTTCGTCTTTTCTAGGGTTTCAACTAGACTGCCAAGCTTTGTATAAAATCGAAAGCATCGGCGGATAGACGCGGATAGGCGAACACGCGTGTGCGTATCTAAACCTGGTAGCGGGAAACGTGTATTTCAGACCGGTTTCTTGGAAATCGACGCAAAATATACATAAGGATGTTCAATGGATATTGAAAGAATTTAGCGTCGATATACCCTGTTTGAGAATTATTTGGACAATAAAAGGAACTAATAAGAGTTAAAATAATTATGAAAACAGCGTGTGTGCATTAAATATACACACGCGTCATTATTCAGCTAATTGCATAACTGGTTGAGATAACCGGATAATAATAATTAATGGCATCGATAATAATTATTAATGATAATACATACAGATATCTAGTATATTATATATTTGAACAGACGCTACGGAAAGTATTTGTACAACATTGTAAATATTTATTATAGCGTTTACATACTAATTAATTAGATCAAAGTATATTAAATTTAGTAATATTTTCATATGATTACAGACATTTGATCCTATAAAGATAAAATGTAGGATCTCGTAGAAAACGGTTCGTTAGAAAATAAGAGTATTCGTAAATAATATTTGTAATCGCTGTATGTATCGATTGCTAGAGAAATTGCATTATCGATCACAGAAATGGACGAAAACACGTTGTGCAAACACTGAATAGAAGATTCCATTGGATAGAAATAACACGAGGAGCAGTGCCATTTTCTTCGCGTTCACCGACATCGGTAAAAACATCGCGTCGTTGAAATAGAATTTAATTGACGTTAATGAATGATACGCGATACGAAAAAGATATGAAACGTTACACATATACAGGAGGGACGTGAAGATTTCACTTAGAAGCCGAGTCTCGTATTTATTAGTTCCTTCTTAAGGCGAGGAATCGCGAGGACAACGACGAACGCGTTGCGCACTGCTGGTTCGTCACAAAAGTAAAACGACCACTTCCCCTTTCGGAGCTGCAAGTTGTCTTGCAAATCGTCCTGGCGTAAAACGAAGCGTCGGTTCGTCGTTTCACCGCGGGGAAAAAATAATTATCCATGTGGTCGATATCTTTTTGTGGAAAACAGATACGGCCTTCCGTTAGAAACTGCCATGAAACGCGATCGGAGACACACGACAGGGTAGAAAGCACTAGTTTCACGCATCTTAATGGGTTAATAACGATAATCCCTCTATTGGACCATCCTCCTTGATCGACGATATCTTTGAAAAGAAAAAAGAAAAATAGTAACGCCTTCCGCCTGGCGATTCCAGTGGAAAGCATTTCGGCCCCTCGGGTAGAAAGTGGCGTGTTCGTGTGGAAAGAAGCGACGACCAATGGGCGTATCTCGTCTCTTGGTCGAGCATTAATGACTTCAATTTCCTGTGGATACAACGGCTAGCATCAGGACACGAATCATTCACGTCGGGAACGGATTACAGTCTACCAGTTCTAGGAAAACGATGGAAAATCGTTTTCAAGATCGACAGAGGTTTCAGATCGTTCGAGTAGACATCGATACGCTTTATTCTGCTCGGTAGTTCCTTCCATCGGTATTTACATGTATTCGTGTAATTCTTTTATCGACAGTGTTCTATGGGTATTGAAACATGCGTGTGAAAGCAATTTTTCGAAATTCGAAGAATTAATCGACTAGTCGGATGAACATTCTATTGAAATTTCTGGCAGAGTTCGTGTCTGGAAATCGACTTAATTGGCAACCAGCAACCGGTCACGCTACGGATACAATTCATTCAAATGTTATTCAGCTTTTTGAGCGTGACTGGGGCTGGAACGCGAACAACCCACTTAAGGAGCGCTGTATAATATTTGGCCAGCCACGATCTCACGTGGCCAAATCACAATTGTAAATCAAGCCTTAGACAATGCCCAGACACTTTACGGGCCGAGATTTTACCACGAAATTTTACAGAAAACACTCGAACAACGAGCTTGATTCTATTATACTTCTCTCATTTGCGAGATTACAGTTATAAATTACGGTCTAATTTTTAACGCCATCGAATTATTAAACGCGTCTTGTCGGCACGTGAGTGAGATCATTGACATGGTTATTTGCACGCTTTTACTGCGCTTATGATTCATAGCACACGTTAGATTTGTATTGCCAACGAGACACACCCTCGACCAGTTGTCTTCTATTACAGACTTTTATCACGATGTCTTCTATATCTCTGCTCACAGACCGTTGCAAACACTAAACACAATCTTCCCATTTAGAATTTCTTTCGACATTTTTCTTCGAAACGTAACACTGAGGTTGGATATTTGCGTGTCCAGTTCAGGGTTAACGGACTAAAAATATTTAAAAGCAGGCACGGCCGGGCATTTTTGAATGTATAATTTATCGGGACGAGGGCAGCGTTTACGCGGATTCATCGTTGACTCGTTGATATTACCATGGTAAAAATGCAGTTAGCGCACGGTCTCTATGTTTAGACGATCCACGGTCTAGCTTTAGCGGAGTCGTAATTCTTCTCTTGTCTTTGTTGCACGTAGACGAACAACGTATCATTTCCCGTTGCGCAGACTCTCGCTCGTCATGTTTAATGCGATAACAACTAACAATCAGCCGGGTCTACGCACGCGCGTATGAAAATCACCGACGAGGAAAGTGTTACCTTCCCGGTCCAGCTACAATCGTGTCTCAAGTGGCGGAATTTCGTTCGAACCAACTTCCAGTTCAACAAAAAATCAAAGAAAAAAACATACAAGATGTATAAACTGGACAATGCATCGTTAATTATAGACGGGAGAAATTTTGGAAAGCGAGGAACGCCTCTGTTATTTTCAGTTTCACAAGCTGTGACGATAAATTCAGTAGACACGGCCGTGACTGGTCAGACACGCTCGAATCTGGAACGCAAAAATCTTGTCGCGCTTCAGACATCGTTACAAGCAGCGATACCAGCATCGATCGAATATCTCGATCGACATTCGCCAAGGTAATTTCGCTGTTCGTGCGCACTTTCGATTCCATCCGGAATAGATAATCCCCGTTGAAGTTGCTCGAAACTTTTCCTTGGGAAAACAAGAAGAAAATCATGAGAAATAAACACATAGTTGCGCTACTTTTCTTCATAGTTTCCAACGTGATCCCCGAGGAGGTCCG